GCGCAGAGAAATTCTTGTTAATTCGGTCTGCTACCGATTATTATCAATCTCTGTATCACTGATGCACCATACAAGGTCAATTCACGACTCAACTACACATTTTCCGCAGTAGACGGTACTTCCAAGTATAGAAACTCCCTGCGCGTAAAATTGCACGGTACAACAATGTACTAAAGGACGTTCTAGATCGGGCCATGAATCCGGCCGAGTTCAGGAAGTTATCTATTCCATTCTCCATCGAGGATAAAGTCTGTTGCCCGGTATCTACGATCGCCGGGTTCCTTTGTCTCAAGGCGCGGCAATTACAAGATCGTATCTTAATTTCCTCGTATTCAATCTTTCGTCGCGTGAATCTGTCGATCCGCAAATAAACGAGCCGAAATAACACGAAGCCTGTGTATATCAGTCAGCCGAGAGAACGATGTTCCAGATAAAGATTGATTCCTTTTCATTGTCAAACTAATTCCCGTTCCCTAGCAACAATTTAAAGTCCGTTCCCCGAACTTCTGGTTTCCAAAAGCCAACATCGCTTTTAGCCGGATTTCAATATTATCCGGTCGCAAACGAAACAGAAAGCAAATCCTAATACAGTCGTAACCCAGACTCGAGACAGGACTTCTTTCCCCTGTAATTCGCGGTGTAGACTGAACCTAAGCCCGACTCGAGGACGAAAGTCCTCTGATCAGCCGTAACTCAACGCTTCGTCACAGGCCCTAACTCAATTATAACCGCGACCGATGAAAACGCGGCCCAACTCGCGCCGTCCACTCTAACCGAGATCTAAATCAAGCCGAAGCGAACGCTTAATAACTCACATAAACCGTGCGGCCGAGCCAATCCGCGAGTCACACACGACCCGTATGTAGCCCATAAAAGCGATGGAACCCGTCGAACACGAGCGGCCGGTGCCCAAGAAAAACCGGCAATGGCCATTTTAGGGTGCACCGGCCCTAAGGGTCCATAAATTCAGAGCGGAAAACGGCGAGGCCGCTTCGAAGTAATGAACTTTCCGGCTCGTAGACGAGTAAGAAGCGAAGAAGCCGGGCCCAGAGCGGAGGTTCTCTGGAAATCGAGAATTCCCCGGAGCGCGGCGCGGCGCGAGCGACCGAGCGAGCGTAAATTCAGCTTGGTGTCGTCAGGTTCCGCGGGTCCCGCAGGATCGCGGACGGGACATCTCGTCTAGGATATCTCGTTTCGCGGAAGCGCGCGCCATCGACGACACCTTCGTCACCGGGGACCCCTGCTGTCGGCGACACCGCGGCGGCTCGCAAATTTTCGCGCGGCACCTCCGCCGTTAACGAGACCCGGGGGCGTGATGTCCGCCAAGAAACCTCTGGAAACCGGAGGTCGAATGGGGTCCCGATGACTTGACGGTTTTCAGTTTCGAGGAATCCGCGATCTGTGATCGTTGGATTCAACGTTATTCTGATTCGATTTTGGTACGTTCATGTTTCGTATTCGAAAGGAAGGGAATTGCGCGTGTCTCCCGTGGCGACGCCAATGCTGCGGGACACGCTAGGAATGTGGCGTCGACGAAAGAATAGAGAATTTATTAAATAATCTGCCGCGAAGGCACTTTCAGAATCTCTATAACTGTAAAGCGGAGATCCTGGAATGGGTCGTTTCGATTTGTCCAGTTATTCTAGTGATAGAAGGGGATAAATATGTGGTATTACTATTCGGGGGAATTCGCTGTGGGGTCCGGTAAATAGGAACGTTTTCGAGTTACGAAACCTCGATACCTCCTAGTAACCCCGACGCTATAAAGTCACTAGAGCTAAAAAGCAACGAGGGGCATTACGAACGTGGTTCCAAAGAAACGAACGTTTACGAGTCGGTGGATAGACTCGGGCCGGGCAGCAAGCTGTAATTCCTTTGTCGCTGACGTAACAGAGTTTTCCTCGGTCTGTTGTCTCCCCTAGATGTATCTTTTTCCCCACCCCGCCCCCCGGCACCGCCGACGCTTATTACCGCACCGTGGCGAGCCCTGTCTCGCTTGATGCTTGGGTAAAGGCCCCCAGTGCAATTTGAATGTCTACGCCAGCGTGAAAATCACGTACGATAAAGAGCCAACTAGGGTAATAATTATCCTGGGAAGAGGGGGTGGGGCGACGGAGGAGGGAGGCTCCTTTATTCCCGGCTGGAATCTTGGAAGGCAGAAATTTTGTAAAATATAATTTCTAGACTGTTTAGTAGTCCCGCGGCAAATTATCCCCGATTACAACGCGAATTATCCGTTACCCACTGAACGTATAATTAATTCCGAAAATAATTAATGGCTTAGCTAAATAAATAGATTGTACCCTACTAAAGCCTCGGTTACCTGAACTTCTTCGAAGAGTCGAGTACGTTAAATATTCAACAACGGCACCGCTTTGCCGTGCGTAAAACCCGAGTTTTTATCTTAATTGTTACATTACACCCCTGCGCCTTCCGCGCGTATAAAATACGTCTGAACATGTTTCTGAAACGAACGAAAGTGAAGACCGTGTTCTCGACGGATTTACCGTGGCCTTTTATGAAAATTGAAATGTTTACGAAGTCCTGGCAGAGCAGAATGTTTGGGACAGAATTTTCTTTGAGTAACGAAATGATTTGCATGCAAGGTTCGATTCTAGTTGCGAAAGCTTGATCCACCGATACTCGCCCTCGAACGGTTAATCAACTTTTTCATTGGAACAATTTCGATCAACTGTTCCTGTTCTCCTTTCTTTGTGACCGTTGCTCGCGATGTATACTTTGGAGACACCCGGTGAACTGGCTAGGCGGGAATTGTTTCGCGTGTCTATATCTTTCCCAGCCGTCATGGAAGACTTCACGAATGCGGGCACAGTGTGCTGGCTCTGACAAGCGTCGCGACGGATGCAGTGCGATCCCCCTATCGAACCACTTCAGTCAAATAATGCAGACGTTTGCATTGAATCGAGGCGGTGCACTCGCCGAGTGACTGATCTCGTGTAATGCTATTTACATGAAACATAATCCCCCCGGTGCTCGTGACACTGTTACATGGAAGCGTGGCGAAAGGCGGCACGAAAAGGGGCGGCGCGCACGCCGGTTTGATGGAATTCCTTGCCGGCTAATGGGGTGTTCTTGTCACAGCCCTAGCCCCATAACAGATTTCTTCTAACATGCTTAATAGTTCCATTCCACCAGTCCCTTTAATCTATATATTCGAATTTTACAAACTACCTGCCATTGTTTAACCATTCGGAGGTCACTCAAGCTTGTTTCTTAGCGAAAAGCGAGGACAATTTCTAAAATAGTACCCAGAAATTTACAGAATTGTTTTGAGCAAATTGAGAATGAAAAAACAAATTCATTATTAAATAACTCTGACAAAGGATTTGCCTACGATGGATCGAAGTAACATTATTAACCATTTGCACTCGAGAGCTGACTCATTCACCACTTGATTCGGTATAACAAAGTTAACAATATTATATAGTATATTATATAGTATATTATGTCTTATATAGTATATTAAGCTTTGTGCAATGCATCAGTATGCGAAATATTGAAATAACTTGGTTCTCTAGTTCACGTGTTTTCTCATTAGTTAAATTCAAAGAATGTCATTCATATTTCATAATAAAATTTTGTGTATTTCTAGTGAAAAACTTTTCGAGTGCAAAGGGTTACTAACAATTTTTGTAAATGGCCTTATAGATACCCAAGTTTCAATCTCTTCGGATTTACCCATAGAAATCTACAGTTGCATAAACTTGCAACTACGAACACGGGTTATTTATCGTTACCAATTAATCGAAGCCAATACTTTCCGATAAAAATGGAATGTCCTATTTTCGAATACAAAAGGAATTCCTTGCTTGCCGCTGCGAGATACCGGCAGGCCGTGTTGTCGAACGCGGCTCGAGGATCAAAACAGTTTCCGAGCGCAATTAATGTTTTTACATCTCCGGCGTGGTTTACTCCCCTCCGTACCCCTCCCTGCCGCAATCGCAATCTGCGTTCACTCTCGATATTCCCTTTCACGTGGCGTTTGCCGGGAAGATAGAAAACGACTTCCTGATCCGTGGGGTTAAGTGGCGAGTGACCGATCCTCTGCATCACCTTCCGCATGGGACCGTTTACACGGGCCCCGGTTGCCATTTACACGACATATTTCTGTCCGCGAACCGCGGCCGGGAAAAGGAGAAAGGTGAACCGACGCGATGCGACGTCTCGAATGGATTCTCAGCCCTCTATTCGAAAACCATTTGGCTCTGTTTCAAGCAGCACGGTTTTATAAGCAATCGCCTTTCCTCGACGGTTTCGTATTTAACCCTATACACTACAATTGTTTTCCTAGTTCTCGAATTTTGTTTTTCTGCTTTTAACCCTTCGCACTCGAGAGGCGACTCACAGTCGCAATTTGATTGGTCGCAGCAAAATTATAAAATGAAAAATTCAATATAAAATGTTGAGTAAGGTATCAACACATCAAACATAGAATTAAAAGAATTCTGCCCCATAATTTATGTAATATGTTCCTTTATGTAACTTGCAAATGATATTATTAATATCTCGTAAAAAAATAATGAATGTTTGTAATGAAAAATATTGTCCAGTGCAAAGGAAGTCTAATTTAATTTAATCGATAAAGTAAGGGACAAAACTATTTAACTTCAATATTTCACATGGCGATGCATTACACAATGTTCAATATTAAACATCAAACTTTCTAACTTTATCGGACCAGGTGATGACTGAGAGTCACCAACCAAGTGTAAAGGGTTAATTCAATGAGAATGTAAATGCAATTTGAATTTGCTACGCCTTCCCGCCAGTTGTTCATCTAACTGCTCAATATGGCCGGGACATTGTAACGTGTGCTAAGAAAATAATAAAGCAAGAATTCTATGTAAAATTTGCATGTAACATTGTAAAAGAACTCAAAAATCGAAACCATTTATAAACAAAGAATTGTTGAAGATATTCACGTTTACCTTCAACTGGATTCTGAAGATATTCTCGAAGTTTCTTCGGAAGCTACTTACACAACGTGGTCATCTTTGCTGGAGAAAGACGCTCTAATTGTTCGTCAAGAATACGCTGAATTCTGGGACCTCTAACTTCATATAAATGTGCCATTGTCCTACATTCCACGCGTAGATTCCCTAGACGTGTATGTATCTTCCATCGTTCAACACAAACTGACATTTCCCTGTTTAATTCAAGAGCACAAAACACCACGTCTGATACCACCACAGCCATTGTAGCTCACTGATCACGTGACCCGGCGGAAAGAAGTTGACAACTTCGCACTGCTTCAGTTTCGTTGCTGCTTTGCATCACGTGACCAGTGTGTCGAAATGGCGGTAAGCGAGAACATTGTGTTTCGGGCTCGTCTATTAACCGAAAGACTTCCAGTTTATATTGAACAGTTAAAGTTTCTAACTCGTCCAAGTGAATCATATAAGAAATTTGAAACGATCAGATATTCATGCGAAGTTAAAAGCTGCAGAGAACTACGAATATTTGATACACAAGTGGATCATATTCGTGCACTTAACCAATTCAGTCTAAGAAGAGTACCGTATGATCGTCGCTAGAGTATTGGTAAGTGTAAATTGTCTTCAGATATAATTAAGTACAGAATTTTGTTTAATTGTTTTCTCCTAGAACACTACTTCCTATTTAATTCCTTTACTTTGAGAAGTTAATTAATCGACGCAATGATTAACTGCACCCTCTTATAACAGGCAAATAATGCAGTCCTCAAAATGGCGCCCGATTCTTGCTACCGTTAACGACAAAAAATACATATATTTCATATCGAGCTACAAAAATCGCGAAACTTCAGCTGAATTTTCCGCTAAATCACAACGGAATATCATTTTTCACCGGAAAAGCGGATAACGCTTCGCTACCAGCGCTTAACTCGGTGACGGTCTCCTCAATTATAATATCATCTTCAATTCAATAAATCTATACAAAATATTAGAAAAACGAAACTGAGACGAGTCATTGAGTTCCTAAACATAATGTAGTTTATAATTTCTAATAAGAATATTTATAGGATTCATTTCATTTTTATTATGTAAAATATGGGATTATAGCCGTAAATATGTGAAGCTGACAGCGATCGTGTTAACGCTGTATTGAATTTTATAAGCTTTATGTGGCATATGTTTGTGCCGATTTCTATTAGCGCAGTGATACAAACATGTATCCTAATTATCTACTCTTAAACCTCTAATTTCTAAGATCTAAATGAACGGATAACAATTTTTATAAGAACAGTAGAACAAACTGTACAGTAAATGCCAGTAAATCTGGTGTTGAGGTTCGATCCATTCTCGGTCCACCATTCATCGAATATTCCTCAGGTGTTCATAATGTACGTATTGACGCTATGAACCTGGTCCCATCTCGCTCCATGTTTGTTCGTCGAAAACAAAAGACGAGGGAAGAATTCTCAGTGGACCGAGAGCAGACCGATAGTGTGTATCGGGCCTAAACGTTTGCTCGCGAAATAACGCGAGCCGAGGTAACGAAGGGAGAAGGAAGAATGGACCGAGAGGGATCGCTTGGCGGAGTGGCGAGGCGAGGTGGGGTTGGATAGATCCAGAGAATACCGAGCGAGAGGCTAGCTTTCTCCGTAATGCAATTGGCTGCACGCGGCGGCGTTCGCGGCGCGCAGAGCTCTCGAGGATCCATTGTCCTCGTTCACCGGCGCTCTTGTAGTTTAGTGGGTTACTTAGGCGCGGAGAGAGATTTTCTCTCCGGCGCGGCCGAGCCAGTTAGATAATGCTCGCGTCACAGCCACCGGGACACGGCGCGGCGGCTAGCGCAGCGGCCGGGGCCTGTGTCGTCGAAAGCGAGGAAAGTTCGTTTCCATTGTTCCCGACGCGGATCGAAGGCCGTGGAAACGCGGGCGTCTTCGTGCTTCCGCCATATTTCCATCGGCGCACGTGCGCCACACGGCGCCGCGCCGCTATTCGCCCCGCGGATATTTACGGAAACCTATGTTTTCCAAACCGGAATTTAATCACCGCGATTTACGACGGGATTTAGTAATCGGTTTAGGAATCGAACAAGGAATTCGTTTGATAGAGCAATTTATAGCATAGTATATCGGAAGCGGTATGAATGTTCCTCTATTAACGTCCGTTTCATCCATTACGGTGGAAATGAAATGGGAACTTTACCGATCTTCAATAAAACTTGCCGGAATAGACGTAAAATGCCATTTTTCACGGTGTTCCGCTCGCGTGAACCTTTAAATCACTCGTTGTTCCATTTATTCTATGAGACAGGCCAACGGGGATGTAGATGAATCTTCTGTAATGCGATTTTTGGTAACATACTGTATTAACTCTGGTTCTTTTTTCAAATTGAGGGTAAATCCCGCCTTTTACTAAAGATTTCTGCGTCTATGAGATAATTTCGCGCAGTATCAATTACTTTTGCTGTTTCATTTCAAATTCTGGTCGACTTATGAATCGTTTTTTGGACTGAAGGAGTATTTCAAATTTATTCCGTTTCTTTGATCTCGTAGCCCGGAATACGAGAAGAATAATCCGGTTCTATAAAAATGTAGGAATTTCGAGCGGCAAATCGACCCTCGCGATCGTATGATAATCGTTTCTGAAATCGTCGATTCGTCGAGCCGTGGCTCGATCCGGACGGGATAGAGGATCGAGACGACGGGACGCCGGTCGGTCGTTAGAGCGGGATGTTTAACCAAACGACAAAGATCTCTCTTCTCCTGTGGATGGACTGGACGTTATGTAAGCGAGGATCTCGATCCCAGATCTCGTCTGATTACTCTTTACAAGGATCGTTTCTACTGCGAGGGTTTATCGATATCTCGCTACGAATTGATCGATCGCAACCAGGAAATGCCACAGACGAGACTGCCCCGTAAAAAGCACGGGAATTATACAATTTAAAAAACGTCGATCTCTATTTTAACTGTATCCCCCGTTCTTCCCATTCCCTCTCGTCGATCACGAGATGCCTGTATCCCACTGCATCGATATGCAATTTCTTACATTTTTCCGCCCCTTATTCAGAAACGAAAAGGAAAAAATCGGAATTTATACATGAACTGGAATTTATTAGGTATCTCCATCTGTACATCTTGCCCGTGATTCGCTCGTTGGATTGAAACAGAGAATTTTTAATACACAGAGAGACCATACTTACGAATACTCATTTCGTTAAGTATCAATGAATGTATTTTAGTGCTGGCAACTAGCAACCGAATCTTGAGCAATCCCGTACTGTTCGATCGAATAATAGAAACTTTATCGGTGCATTTAATATCGGTAAAGCTTCCTACCTGACCGCTTGACGAATTGGTATCGCACTAAAATTCCCTCCCGACATTACCGAGGGATGAGAAAAAATGCCCGGTTAATGAGGGAAAAAAAAGAATTATGGACGAGTTTCAGAGGCGTGGCAACGTCGACGGAGATTTTTTCGCGGGCACCGTGGAACGATCGGTTTCCAACGATAACGTAATTTCTCGCGGGCCGCGGGATTTTACGAGCGACTATCGCCTCAAACTTTCGCGTTTCGAGCACCGCGAAAGTTACATAAAGACTCCGGTGTACCCCATAATTTGATCGGGCGAACAATGGCCGCGCTCGCGTTCGTATTTAAAGCTCAGTCGAGGTGAAAGGCGGCGACGACGCGAAAATACACAGGCCGGAAAAAAAGCGGAACGACGGAAAAAAGATGAAACGGGCTCGGCGCATTAGATTTTTCGAAGCGATCTCGCGCTCACTTCGTCGTGGTTCTTCGCTCGTGGCGTGGCGAAAGCGTGCGACTAAAACTGTTACGTTTAGCTCTTGCTCGCGAAAATCCGTGACCGTTCCTGCCCGCGCCGCGAGCGTGTTCATACACGCGGACGATCGGTCCGATTTCAAGTAACGAGCGAAATTAGGTGGAAGAGACGTGCCTTTGTTGTCTAATCAGCGTAGTTTCCTTCTCAATCTATCCAATCATTTTCCAATAATACCCTATTTAATCGTTTGTCTTACATCATTTAATCTTACGAAATTCTCCTCGACAAACCCCTCAATGTACATTAATTTTAAATGGAAATCATTGCGCTAGAAAATCAAATCGCTGGATTTTTAAAATTGTCGTTACTTACTTTTAGTTTATATCACGTAGAATAGAATGAGATAGTTTCGCAATCATACGTTGTCTGTTGTCCATAATTTTGAATAACAAAAAGGCAACGGAGAGAACTGTTCGTCGATAGTTTTATACCAGTGTCAAGCAAGATTCTTTGAAAATCGAGAGGGACACAAGGCCGGTGCTTCCCTCGGGAGGCTCGCTTGACGCGGGAAAACGACTGGCGACACCTGAAACCGTCTTCTTCTTCGCCGCGCTCGCGCAAAAAGATAATGCGGACGAAACTTGAGTAATATTGACCACAGGAAAAAGTCGCGGGATCGCTGGTCGCATGGCCTTTGCTAAATCGATTCTTGTACGCTCCCGCGGATTGCTTCACGTGCGCTGCGCCGTTTCGACACCGGCTCCGATCCGATATTTTCGTGCCCTGACTCCGCTCATTTTGTAATTCCGAGGCGATCGGCCTGGATCGATCACCGAGCCATGTTCTCACGTTGCGATCCCGAATCGCCGATCGAATCGTCCCGTCCCCTCGAATACTCAGCATGAAACTGATCATTCGCAGGAAAACGCGCATAGGAACCAAGATTCCATTAAATCGCGTGCCCAAAGTAATTACTCGTTCCAATCTGCACTGCAATCAAGAAATTCGTTCGCGCTCTACAACGTACCAAAATGGAATGCCGCAGAAATCTTTCTTCCGCGTTTTCTCAGCATCGCCATCACATTAAGTCTTTCTAGAAAATCGAATAACCTTTCAAAAGCCCATTCATCTTGCCTCAAAATTCAAACACATTCGAATCAAACTAACGAAAATAAACAAAAATACGTAGAACTCGAACAAAACTGTTTCCCAATCAAACAAGCTGCCACAGAAGCGTCCCGCTGAAACCTACCTATCGAACAAGCCTTCCATAATCGGTCGTCAAAGGTTTCTGCTCGGACCGTTCCGTGCATAAATTTCACGGAGAGGCGTTCCGCGAGCGGAACCATCCGCATATTCAGTAGCGGAATGGCGGCGAGATCGTGACGGTTCTGAGGTCGTTCCTCGACGAAGCGTCGCCGCGAGGGTTGCGTTGCGGCCGGAAACGCGCGTGGCGGCCGATCGCGGCGGAAAT